GCATCGGTCCAAGTTGCCATACCTCATTAACATAAGATGGACACCGGATTCATAGAAGTAGTTAATTCAGAGGTGGTAATATTTAAAAGAAAGATGGCAATAAAGATATAGTACAGGAAGAAAGAATTAGTTAGTAGAAAGAAAGATATGAAGTGATTTTAATCTCTTAGTTTAGGAGAAGACAGATAGTGTATACACCGACACCGTTGTGATCGATTCTGAGCCATGTCACTCAGAGTCTCCAACCATTAGTTACGAAAGTCACGCGGACCCCAACCAAGTAGTCTGCATATCACAACATGGCTCAGACTAGAAGTTAATGACTTCAAGCACTGATGCCACGATTTGGTTTGGCCACCCCTAACTTTCTTCAAACCATCCCGAACACCGGTTAGCATTGCACGTCATGGTAGTCGGTGTTCGGGCATACGTAACACGTGGCCCAACCATCTTTCACTTCATCTGAGCTGCAGTCGGCGGTAGCGTGGGCAGAAACGACAAAAGGCAACGACGTGTGTTCCGGTCCTTTCGAGTTCCTACGGAGCCGTTTAGCCGAACAGCCCGACCGTTGTTGCTACCTTGACGTGATGGTCGGGCTTGCCTATCGTGATGAACCAATCCAGCTATACTGGCTGGAACAATCGTTCCTCAAGGTCCTACCATGTCAGACAGGTCGGTTGAAGAGCGGTAAGACTAAAAGCAACAAACCCAAGGTCCGAAGAAGAAGTCGTACTGTTGACTCTACAGCGGTGTGACAGCAGTAAGGTGTTTCTTTCAGACAACCAGCATGACAGCGATACTGTATTTTATATCTACTAAAATAGACAATACCGAACCTTTTAATGGATCATTTAACTAAGTACACTGAAAAATGTTCAAGAACAAAACATTGGGAATGATAGGTGGTTCTGTCGATAGAGATTCCTCCAAACGGCGGCTCGCCTATGGTGGAAAATCGGCTCTACCTAAACGTTTTTGAGTCACTGACTGGTTGAAAATTGTATGCTACCACAAAATACGAGTACTGAAGCGGTTTTTCTGAAACCACGCGCACCATTCAAACTGGCTGCCTTCAACGTTCGCACACTTATGCAGGTCAGACAAGAGATAGGCGTGACTATGTCTTTGTAAAAGTCTTAATATCGACGTTTGTTGTCTATTTGAGACCTGTATACAAGACTCTGGTGAAGTACTACAAATTCGCTCTCCATCTGTCGCTTCAAAAAGCTTGTTTTACGTGCGTTTATCCGGGGACCCTGTGCATCTTTGTCTGGTCTTGCTGGCGTCGGTGTCGCACTAAGCGCTAGAGCTGAGGCAGCACTAATCGACTGGATCCCCATTAACAGTCAGTTATGTGCTGTTGGATTGGAAAGTTCCATCAAAGTGAGATGAAGTCCGCGTGAGGAACGATGCCTTTTCGTCATATCCGCCTATGCCTTGACAGATTGTAGCCCAGTTACTTTGTTTTGGTTTCAAACGAGCAAGGGCGCCTATCTAACCCACGTAAACAGCTATCCTTCAGTCCAAACATTAGTTTGGATCTTACACTTTAATGTTTCATTAAACGTTTAGAGAATTTTCTAGTGTAATTGCTAAACGTAGTTATGAATTGAAATCGGAGTGAAAATAAACTTACCGTTTCTTAGAAATTAACTGCATTGTTGCAGAATTCTAGAGAATTCCTCCAAAAAAATCAACAAAAAGGCTTTTAAAACACTGAGAAGCATCTTATCCAATCAGCAGCATTCAACAGAAGTAATGCCAGAAATATCTAGGAAGTGAAAAGTCACATATCACCTTTCTGATTAGATCATTACCTACCCTTCTTCTAGTATGTTTACTAGCATGCCAGAATTATCAGAAAGTACAAGGTCATCTAAAATGCTATAAATATCCTAGACTTTCTGTACATAAACGAACCTTGATGCAGTGTTTTGTCCATCCATATTTCGCGTCTTTTCCCTCATGTTGAAGTTGCTGCGTAGATATAACCTGGAAGTTACTAGAAGAGCTTAGGAAACTGAATTTAGTGTTCTTTTAGGAGATTTATCAGCTATCATTTGAGACGATATAATGACAATTCCACAGTGTTTTAACATTGAGAGAATATTGATCATGATATTCAATAATCAAAAACTGTCAATACACATTTACAAATCTTACTTCTCGATGAAACATCTAAAATGCTGTGACACCAAGTTTGACGTCTGCCTAAATATTAAAGGCTTTCGTTTGACAGTCATTAAAATAAACAACAACTGGACGTGTAGTGAGTAACTAAGTCGACATCTGCTGACTAACATGTGGCTTAAGCCACATATATTATTCTAAATGAGTGTTTAACATAGCTACTATCAATTCAGTATTGTTATCATTTATTACCCTAATCAGATTTTACCTGTAGTTGACTGTTTCACCTTTAAATAACACTTCTGACTACTAGTAATTACTATAATAGTACAGAGAAAACAGATTTTGGAGTGAAATCGGTTTGGAAACTAACTGGTGAAAAGAAGGAAACCATTTCGACAATCATTTAATGCTCCATGGTTTCTTCTCTATCTTGTTATAAACATGCAGTAACTACTACTAAACTCCACCTGTAGCTCTTCTAGAGTTACTGTCAGTCCCAAGCCCGGGTAAAGGACGAGGGTTGGGCATGGGGTTAGCGACCTCATCCCGTAGAGAAGTTACTAGCTAAATAAACGCTTACCGAAAAAAATAATTCAAACCATTTACACTGTGCCCTGAGAGTTAGAAGTTCTTCATTTAGAAGAATTATGACGCTTCATGGTGGAAGCCGAGTTCCTTCGGAAGTCACGAGGTCGATGACCCTTCTGAAAACCAGAGCAAAAATTTTTATAGGTACATGGAACGTCCGAACAATGTGGGAAACCGGGAAGATCAGTCAAATAGCAATGGAAATGAGGAGATACAACTTAGCAGTACTGGGGATCAGCGAAACTCACTGGACCCAAGCTGGACAGAAAAGACTAGCTACGGGAGAGATGCTGCTATACTCCGGTCACGAAGAGGAAAATGCTCCACACACTCAGGGAGTTGCTCTAATGCTGTCCAAAGTAGCACGAAATGCACTTGTAGGATGGGAATCCCACGGATCCAGAATCATCAAAGCATCATTCGAAAGAAAGAAGGAGGGGATCACGATGAATATTATCCAATGTTATGCACCCACTAATGATAGCAACGACGACATTAAAGATCAGTTCTACGAGCGGGTGCAGTCAGTCATTGAGAAATGCCCAAGAAAGGACCTCACCATTCTAATGGGAGATCTAAATGCCAAGGTCAGAATAGACAACATCGGATATGAAGATATTATGGGGCAACATGGACTGGGAGAAAGAAACGAAAATGGAGAAAGATTTGCAAATCTATGTGCATTCAACAAATTAGTCATAGGAGGCACAATATTTCCACACAAGCGTATACACAAGGCTACATGTTCTCACCTGACCACACTACAGAGAACCAGATAGATCATATTTGCATCAATAAAAAATTCCGAAGGACAATGGAAGATGTGAGAACCAGGAGAGGTGCTGACGTAGCTTCAGATCACCACCTAGTTGTAGCCAATTTAAAACTGAAGCTAAAAACGAACTGGACAAGTGGACAAACAGCAATACGAAGGTTCAATACAGCCTTCCTTCGAGATACTGACAGACTCAATGAATTCAAGATAGCTCTCAACAACAGGTTCCAAGCCTTACAGGATCTACTGAAGGAAGAAGAAACTACTATGGAGGAAAACTGGGAAGGTATCAAAGAAGCATTAACTTCAATGTTTCAAGAGGTTCTGGGCCTCAACGAGCATCATCATAAGGTATGGATCTCTATAGAAACACTGGACAAGATCAAAGAAAGAAGGAATAAAAAGACAGCAATTAACAACAGCCGAACACAAGCAGAGACGGTCTAAGCACAAGCTGAGTACATAGAAGCAAACTAGCAAGTGAAAAGAAGCATTGAAGCCGACAAGCAGAAATACGTGGAAGAACTAGCAAGAGAAGGAAATATGAAACAGCTTTACGATATAACGAAGAAACTAGCAGGGTAATATGGTAAACCAGAGAGACTGGTCAAGTTTAAAGAAGGCAGGCCACTAAACGAGTGTTGCTGAACCGGATGAACGACGCAGTAGACACCCAACTTCGAGATCAATAAGCTGGGTTCCTTAGGGACCGGTCGTGCACAGGCTATATTGCAACACTATGGATCATCGCCGAACAATCAGTTGAGTGGAACTCGTCACTATACATCAACTTCATTGATTATGAAAAGGCATTTGACAGTGTAGAAAGGAGAACGTTATGGAAACTCTCTCGACACTACGGAGTTCCTGAGAAGGATCTTAGTTGCTATATTTAATTAACACAACAAGATGAACAGTGAATTCATAGAAGGGGTTAATTCAGTGTTAGTTTTATATCAAAGAAAGATTATGTATAAGAATATAGTACAGGAAGAAAGAATTAGTTGGTAGAAAGAAAGATATGAAGCGATTTCAATCTCATAGTTCAAGGAAGGACAGAAAGTGTATACACCTACACCACGTGCACGCACACCAAGTGATGAATGGTTTCCATTGGTTCTCTAGACAATATCAACAACCTTAATTACAATTAGAAGTAGGCAATGAAAATTTCTTGTCTTAATAGTAGCATACAGTGTCTTTCGAACTGGACATTCACTGTTTGGATACAAGTACATACAGCTAATGAGTCCCGAATAGGATAAAAGTAACTTGCTGGATTTCACTGCTTAACACACAACATCTATTCTATAAAAACTTGTGACAACAAATGTGCCTAGGGATTTTGAATAGAATTAGCACATACTAAGTCTGATCAAAGTCCAGTCCAAATAAAAACTAAGAGATGATCCATGCAATTAAAAATTGAATGAAAATCGATGGCAGCCTAAATATATAGTCCGTATATTGAATGCCAATAAAGCTTTCACGGTGTGTGCATCACCGATAACCATATAAAGCTGGGAAAATGATCTTTGGAATTTTCCTACAACGTGTATGTATACAGAAGTATTTTGTTCATTTCTTTTCTCTACCATATCCTTCAAGTACTATCGATAACAAAAATGACCATTTTTGCAGCCCATTACTTTGGATAGTATTCTGGATAATATCATGACTAACAGGAAACCCTGAACGCTGTTATACTGATATTCTACACTTACCAGAAGAAATGGAATTGATTCTGCCTAATGGATTCTGATTCGTATCATATCACTTCACAGTCTAAGATGTCACCACTGAACTATTCAGGCGATCAATGGCATTGTGTTGAACTAAAATATTGTCTATAGTGCTTCATGATGTATATCATATTTGATCAATGTCATGTTTGGTCGATCAGTATTGAATAATTGAAGCAAAATGATTTTATAAATAGCAAACAAATATTGATTTTGAGTAAGCTTGATTCCATTCAACAAGTGATCGTATTTCATTGGATCGCTAACAAGTTGATCGCAAAATTTTAATTCCTTATTCATTCAATATTTTAGGTGAATCTTCAGTGAACGCTACTGGGGCCTAAGGTACCAGTTTTTATACTAAACAGTTGGAAATTATTTTATCTGGGTAATGAGTTTAAAACGTTAAGAAACATTGTTCATAAACTGTTAATGCATTAGGTAATTAAAGATAAGCTTGATTGTATATTTATCCATCTTGCATCAAGTGAGGAGCATAACCAATACGTGGTAAGATGTTTGATCTATTCATGAACATTCTAGTTTATTTTATTGAAAGCAAAAGAGGCCAAATCATAGTAATTAGAAGCAGGTCTGAATCTGTGTCGGACAAGTCTTGTTGTTTTGACTTGTGTTGTCAAATAAATCGTCAAAAGTAGTGAGTAGATTAGCAAGCTTTAGACAATCATAATGATCTTATTAAATTTATTAAACACTCTCCTACCCTAAAGAGCTTGATCAAGTATTCCCATTAGATCATGTTTAGACATACTGTACTATCAATCTACGACAATAAGAAGTCCACATGTATTTCATAAATTACATTACATCAACTTTCGGTTCAAATTCTTTTTCATCACATGACACCAATCTTGACTTTTGCTTCTTTTTTGACTAAATGATTATTGGAAGACAGTAGCCTTATCAAATTGAGAGTATCATTGACCTCTTCAAACTTATAGTTTAGAATTTGAAATTCCATCACTGACAATATTGAAATCATTGTTAATCAAAAGACAATTGTTATGAGGTGTTTAGTTGGGATGTCATATTATTATTTTGATTGTCTTGATGAATATATTCTGCATATCTTCACAGCATGCACCTTTCCAAGTAATCAATTTATAGCTTCTTTCATTGAACATTCAATTCAGTAAGAATGTGAAATACGTTCTATAGAGCATTTACCAAAATCTTATCCAGTAAGACATATACTTAGCAGCCTTCATTTAACTACTATTTACGTGAATGAGCTAAGTAGTATGTTTGCAGTTACTTTCATTATATTCCCATGAACAAAACGTACTCTTTAATATAGAATTGTGAATACGGATGAGGACATTGATTATGCATATTCTATTCCTTTACTAACAAACGTAGAGTTTATCTAACATTTGCGTATTCGTCATACCACTTTAAATGGATGATAATTGAACTAATTCAAGAGGTTAAACATTTAAAACATTCTATGACCATTCACTTGGTATTGTTTGGCTTGTATCTTCCCATTGAGGTTTAAGACTGCAAATGGTCAGTCTCTTATTGACATATCAAGGCATACTGTGCGTATGCGTCGATATTGCCCTCATTCACAAGCTATTCGTAAGCAATGGTGGATAGTGGCTAACAGTGGAATCCAGGTTGACGCACGTTTCATCCTATTTTGGACTACTCAGCAGGATGTCCTTGCATCTCAGGTTTGTTGATTTACACTCTGGGACTCGAACCCAGTGCCATTCGCTTCAAACGCCATTCCATTACTATAGTAAATTTCAGGTCAAGTTGTATTTGGATAATGGAAATCTAATATCATTATTATTTTTATTTAAATAAACGCTTTTTAGATAATTATTTCCATATATATTAGATATAAGCACACTTGCTGCTTGTAGTATATTCAGTGGCAAATGAAGAATATATAATAACATTCTTTAGAAGATGTACTATCTCATGTGATGCAATCGAAAAGTTAAACTATATTGACGGTCTCACTTTCTATGACACTATTCAATGATCCAAACTAACTAGTTTGTCTTCTCATGTACGCCATGAATGGTGGTTGGATACTTTGAGTGATATGGTTCAGTAGCCTAGGTGTTTACGCTTTTCATCCTTCACTCATCCTTTAGATTCCCGTATTAGTCCATGTTAATCTTGCAACTGTGTCTATGTGAAGCTTATTCTAAGTGCACAGTTTTTCTCATCACCAATCGCACTACAACATTAGTCCGATCTTTTAGATAATACATCTTGGTAATTTGGTTTCACCATGTTAATGAGATATGATAACTTAAGCCAGCCTTCATCATCTATCCTGAACTGTATATTGATGATAATTGGCTGACTGACTGACTGACTGAATGAATGAATGAATGAATGACACAGTCCCACTATCTATCTATAATCAGTTCAAACTTGATCTACAGTATATATAATTGTCAAGTAAGATCAATGTTTTCGGATTCAAATGTTAAGACAAAAATATTCATTATTTATATACGAAATAAACATGATACTTTTCAACTTACATTTTCCATTATGTGATTGATAAATATTTTTCAAAATCCCTGATGTTTGTACATTCACTCTGAAGATGTTAGTCATTAAGTGGGATAGAGAATTATGTATGTGAATACTGACGATTGTGAATAAAGTACTATGAGTGCACGTTCAGTAAATGGACAAATAGTGTGATGAAACTTCTTATGATGAATACGTTTATCACCATGTACTGGTATAACATATTGATTTAATGGTTTACGAAATAAGCACTTGCACGCGAAACTGAAAGATTCGAATCTCGTGGGAGGGCGGGATCGTGGATGCGTACTGCTGACGCATTCCATACTAGGACGAAACGGCCATCCAATGCTTCTAGGTTTTCCATGGCGGTGTAATTTCAATTGACTTATGATTTCAACTAGGGAGATTACAAGATAGTCAAAGTAATTACATCAAATCATTATTTTAGTATTCGAGCGAAGGACTATTAGGATAATAAAAGTAATTATTAGTGAGAATCAGTGATGATAACAATAAAGGTACTATGTAAATATGAGTAATTACTGAAGCTTTAGAGGCAAGGCAAAAACTTGGCAATGGAAATCCAACGATGAATTATGTAATTATGTAAATAGACATTAGTAAAGTTGTGATAGATTAAGGTAAAAAATTAACCGACTTGATTTGCTTACTTCGATAAGCAGAAACTGAAGGGACCACACTCTTCCTGATAATATAAAGTGCTATAAAACTATCATACTATATGTTGGATAACCGCTCTTGATAAAGGAAATCTACGTTCAGTTGATTTAATATAAAAGAAATATCCCGTCGGTCGTTGACCGGTACGCCGTTTGATCTTATATTTTTATGAATTTCAGAAACAGATAAAGTTTAAAGTGATGTTGCCCTTGTTCTGACTATAGCTTTCACATGGACTCTGGGATAACCATTATCGCGTTTGCGGTTCTAGTAGTATATCTGTGAGACAAATTAAGTCTTACATATACCTTCCTAACCATTACATGTTCGACTTCAAGTATTGTGCCGTTCAGATCCATTATCACTACAACACCTTATCTCGAGAATCAACGCGATGTCAGTCTCAAGCAAAATCTTGTGAGATAATGATGCCTCAGAAGTTATCAAGAAGACATTAGTAATCGTCAGAGTATTGACAAACTGGAAGACAGGTTGAAAATAAGGCATCGATATCTGTTCAGAAAATGCATGTGATAAAATCACGCTGTCCGGCCTCATTCCCAACTCTCGTTTGGTGAACATTCACGCACAAATTATTTGAGAGATATACAAATTGGAATAATGATAGTGCATAGTTGTTCGCTGCAACGGTATTCTAGCAAACTATATCAAAGTGTATGTCCATCACTGATGTATAACAGCCTAACTTATGAGCGGTGCAACTGTTTACTGCTTAGATTTATAGTGATGAATTGAAAGAGAATCAGTGTTGTGGTTTGTGTATATGTATGATCTACAATATATAACATGTATTGTCAGATTACAATGTGTTTCATAAGACATGTCAGCTAATAAGTAACAAGAAGTCGTTACAAATGCTGCATGTTTTACTTAGAGGAGTTACTTAATTATATTGATATATTCCAGGACACACTGTTCATATAAACAGATGAAGAATTTTCAAACTTTGGGATTTGAATATTAGTAGTCCAGTATATTTTGAATCGTGAGTAAAAATCTGACTGGCCTTAACCGAATTGACACTCGTTTACATGAATAACCAATTGAAAAGATCATACGATTAAATACTGTCAAACGTGTCATTATTGGATATTATGACTCATTGTAATTACATGCTGGTTGTAAAATGTGGCTCGACAGAACAATATCCAACACTGTTTCTTGCGATGAACTAAAGATCGAAGTACCGGTAACTATTCCGATAGGTCAGGTTGTAAGAGAACTGAGCGTAGATACAAATTATCTGAACAACATTCACCTTGAATATCTGCAAACCACAACGAAGTATTCTCTGCTAAATGAAAGATATAAGCAAATACACATTATAATTTACTCTGCCACTCAATTGACAAATGTATTAATAGAAGTGTAATCGGAATGTTTGAACCAAATAGATCTAAACGGATGGGCTCAACTTAAAATCATCTTTTACACATACGAAGTTAAATATTTCCCAGATAACATGAAAACAGTCTGTCTATGAAATTTGTTTACTATCAAACGATTTGATTGTAGTTACTAAACAATGTGATTAGACACAAATTTACTGATGAATCAGACCTAGCTATTGAAAACGAAAACTTTTTCC